AAAAAATAAAAACTGATCAATTCTTTTTAATGAACTTAGATAAATAAAGTACCATAGAACATATTTGAGAATTATTTATTTACTTAGTTAATTCATACTCGATAAAACTAGATTGGTTTTGTGTTTATTTCATTTGATAATCTTTATTTATTTATTTATTTGTTAAGATTTTCATTTCCATTTGGTCGACCCGAAGGTGCATTAAAAGCAACATTAAGTTTACTTGAACGTGTTCTTTCAAAAGATATCTCAACACTAATATCTCGTGATGATATACGAAATTTTATTCGAAAATGTCTTGAAAATGCTGCATATACAAATTATACACGGGTTTCAGATCAAGCCAAAATTGAAGGTTACACCGGCCTTTTTTTTATTTTATTTAACTTTTATATTGATCAACTATTAGATAAAACAAATAACATCAATGTCTACAGATTTAGATTTAAAAAAAAATTCTTATTAAAATACTTAAAATAGTTAATTAAACAATAACCATTCTAACATCTTATTGATATTCCCATAGAGTTAGCTTATGTCATCTATCTTATTTATAAAGAATAAATTATTTAGATTGTTCGAATATTGTAATCGTCTCTCTTAAAAGAGAATATATTTATCTCGAAGAATTATTTTCAACAATTAATAATCATTCAATTCACCATGAATGAACATTAACAATGAATAAAGATGAGTTTATTGTTAATATTAATATATCGAGAACTAATTTGATGACAATTATATCATATCGAGATTTGCTTTTTTTCTAGAAAAATCTTTCGAGATAATCACAATTAAAATGGTTTTTTTTTCAATAATCAATATAGGAACTTATTGGTTTTATTAGAAAAGAGTTCGAAGCGTTTCTATTCCACTATATTAAACACAACATTGTTAAAATGAATAAGTTAGATGATGATATATGAAAGCGAAGAAATCGGTGAAATAAAGTATTTATATGTTGAAGACTAATTAATAAAATATATTTCTAAATAAGACTAACTAGTTTATTTATTCGACATGTTTATTGTAAATATAAATATGATTATTTCAGGAGAACGAGAAATGCAGCAACAAAATGATAATGGTAATTTATTTGTTTCGTAGATATTTATCTTTGTTAATAGATATTATTTATTGTTAAATTCTTTTTTTGCTTTCATTGTTAAATAATCTGCTTTTGTTTGTTTAATTAGATTTAAATTATTGTTCTGTTCATCTTTTGTTCTCTAATTATTCATATTTGATCGATTAGAGAAAACAAATCGTAGTATGGATTCTATTTATAGTTTAACATGTAAAAAAAAATGTTTTTTTTTTATTTAAAATGATAAAACGAAAAAAAAACGAAATTATTTAGAAATGGTTTATAATCGTGATGACTCTCCAAGAAAAAAAAATCGATGATCTAATACATTTAGCTGAATTATGTATTGAATTATTACAACAAGATAGTGAACATTATCAAGAAGCATTTAAACAATATAATGATTTATTAATTGAACATGAAGAAATTTTTTGGTCTTTATTTGCTGTTGATATGGAACATGTTATTGATCAACAACCTATTGAAAGTTGGGATTCATTTCCATTATTTCAATTATTAAATGATTATCTTCGTCAACATGGTATTGAAATTTTTATTTAAATAAATAAATTTATTTATTTATTATTTAGATACATTATCAAATGGTCGATTTCATCAACAATTACGTGATACATTTGCTCCATTAGTTATTCGATATGTTGATCTTATGGAATCATGTATTGCACAATCAATTCATAAAGGTTTTGAAAAAGAAAATCGGAAATCAAAAACGTAATCAGTTGTTTTTTTATTTGATTTAAATTATAAATTAAACAATATCTTATTTTAGCAAGGACCTGTTTCGGGAAGTACTTAAAAAATAAATGAAAATGATGATTAATATCAACAACATGATTATGACATTTATCGTAGACATTTATCATAAACATTTATCATTCACGAAAAGAAATTTGTAAAAAAAACATGATGTAGTAAAGAAATTTGTTAAATACAATTGATTTTTTATTATAAATAAATAAATAAAAGATTTTTTTTTCGTATAATTGATTAAATGAATTCGAATTACGTCGCTGTACATTTTGCATAAGAACTCATCTCGCATTCTATTTAGTCTATCTTCAATTTCTTTCATTCATTCTTTCTTTTTAGACTTTAACTATTATTAAAATTGTTTTGCAACGATTAAAATCAATATAAACGATTAGATAAAAAAATACAAATTCAATTGTTTTCAATTTCAACGATTAAATAAAAAAACAAATTCAATTTTTTTCAACATCAACGATTAAATAAAATACAAATTGAATTGTTTTTTATATAAACGATTAAATAAAAAAAACAAATTCAATTTTTTTCAATATAAACGATTAAATAAAATACAAATTGCACCTTTTTCAACATCAAAGATTAAATAAAATATAGATTGAATTGTTATCAACACAAACGATTAAATAAAATACAAATTGAATTTTTTTCAACATCAACGATTAAATAAAATACAGATTGAATTGTTATCAATATAAACGATTAAATAAAAAATATAAATTGAATTATTTTCAATTTAAACGATTAAATACATATTGAATTTATTTCAATATAAACGATTAAATAAAAAATACAAATTCAATATTTGTTCAATAAAGACTACTAAGATTTTGATTTTCTCATCTCAAAGTTTCTTACTTAGAATCGAGTGAATCTTCACCAAGTTTTAACGAAGATTTTTCTCGAAAGAAACTTTGCATTGTTTATCTCACCAAGTTTAGAGATAAACGCACGTCTCACTAAGTAGAAGACGTACTCGGTATACACACGTGCTTAATCTTAGTGAGAAGTTGCTTTCATTTAAAATTTTAACGACTAACTTAATCGTATTTTATTTCATTATCTACGGCCTGGAAAAAATCAGTCACATCAAAAGTACTTTTTCAGCTAGTTTGAAGAAATGCCGAAGCTTAAAAGAAGATCTATGTCTCAAAGAAATGTCGAGATAGCTAGGAGAATGAGAGAAAGAAGAGCTAACGATGAATTTCGTTTGATGGACAATAGAATACGAGCAAAATCTCAAAAAATTTCACGACAAAATAATGAATTTAAAACAGAAGATAATAAAAGAAGAGCAGAAGCTCATAAA